TAGACTGGGGACCTAGCCATCTGATGAGTAGATCTAATTCCTCTGTGGCATTGATGTCTAGGTCACTCATTGTGGCCTAAAAAGTGGATTTCCAGTCTCTGTAATTTTCAGGCTTGTCATCAAACTTGGTGAGGCCTGTCTTTACAAGCTCTCTGCAGAGCATGTATTTAGCAAATCTGTGACATGTCCTATGTTTTCAGATTTTGGGTGCATGACTGCAGGTGGGACAGAGTTGGCTGTGACGGTTGGTGGACTTACGTGGAGTGACTTGGGAACATATGTTGCTACTAAGGCATTCAATGCTGGAACTGGCTTAAAGTCCATTGGCATGTTAGTCTGTAGAGTAGTGAGTTTGCTAGGAGGTACTCTGTTGGTGCCAAAGTAGGGTGGACGGTCTATTAAATACATACCAGTGTCTGCGGCTAGCTAAGATGCTGCAGTCTGATGTATTGGAGGATATAAGGGCAAATCGTCTTGAGGTGCAGTAGGTGCAGAGAAGAGACTTTGAGTACTTTGGCTGCTGTGACAGGGAGTTCTGGAGAGGTGTGTGAAGAATCTGAGACATAAGATACAACTGAGTGTCTGGAATTGTTGTTTCTTTCATTTTCACTAGCGGTTTGTTCTAAGACCCTTAATCTTGCATGGCTGTGGCATGCTCACATTGTTTTTCCAAAACTTAAATTTCTGCCTTTTGGCGTGTGGCTTCAGCTTCTTTCTCTGCTTTCTGATGTGCGGCATAAGCCTCCATTTCTGCGGCCTGAGCCTCCATTTCTGCAGCCTGAGCCATCATTTCTGCTTTCTTATGTGCGGCCTGAGCCTCCATTTCTGCGGCCTGAGCCTTCATTTCTGCGGCCTGAGCCTCCATTTCTGCTTTCCTTTGGGCGAAAGCTGCGTGAATTTTAGAAGCTTCAGCATCAGCATGGGCTTTTATTAGTTGTTGACTGAGTGTAGAAGACCTTGATAATATGGATTTGAAAGATCTTGAGGAGCATCTAGTAGACGCAGAGCGATAAGATCTGGATTCATGGAGCTTTGTTATTCTTAGTTCTGCCTTTGTCTTTGTTCACACCACTAAATTGTCTCTTTCAAGACTGAGCTCTGCAAAACCCATTAATTCTTCCAATGACCTTTGAGTGTTGTACCGCTTTAAGAGAGCAATATATTTAACACACAGTCTTTGATAATTCTCATAAGCAATATTCAATTGCTGAGTAGCGCCCTCTAGTTGTATTGGCGCATGAGATTGTTGGGAGAGAGCAGGCATGCATTTAACAGTATTGGACCATAAGTCATTAATATTAGACAGCAATTCTTCCTTGTCAGCATTAAGATTCTCTTGCACTTTCCAGGTTGGCTTTGTTAAGCGTTTTTTTCTCTTTTGTATAAGTCCTGCTCTGGATGAAGCTCTAATTGTGGTTGTGTATTATTTTCCCCAGACTGTATATGACTTTCCTAAAACATCATGTTAGCAAGGAGAGGGGTTGATAGAAGGTTTACAGAAAAATGTATCATTTTTTTTGTGGGTGAGCTCAGGTTTCCTAGGCAATGGTTGCAGAAAAGTTTTCTTTCACTTTCTTACAAGATTAAACAGACAAGCCATGTGCTAATGCATACAGATGCAGTGTATAAAATTGCAGTTGTAAGACATTCACATCAATAATCTGTCCTGACACTTATGAGTGTTATGCTGAGATATACTTGCAGACATGTACAGGCTTGTGTAGAGATGGCTGTGTCCATATAACTTCTCACTGTGTATCCAAAGCTAGCAAGGATCCTATGAAGACATTTCAATGATCTTTTGACTGTTCTGTCTCTCCAGTTTAAGCATTGAAAGTGTGATCTCTGTAACTTACAGTTGTGATGAGATAGCGATAACTCCAATCTTAGTTGAATAACACAGGCAGTGACTCAATCGGATGACACCTTGTAGATCTTGTGAAGTTTATTCCATAAACTGAGAGAATCTTACAACAATGAACATCTGATAGGTCAAAAGATCATAATGTGATCTGCTTCCATAAGACATGTGGCTAGAAGCTGAAATGCATTACTGGGAACAGGGGTGGGCTATCTATACAGCATGAACTAAACCAGAGGAAAGAAAGGAGCAGAGACAAAATACAAAGAACACTTAAAGGCATATGACAGTCATGTGAAACATGACAACCATATAACCTACTTTTTGTGCATTTTGGATGCAGAAAAAACGCAGCTGAAAGTGTGAACTGGCCCTAAAAGGTATCAGTCAGGAAAAGGGTACAAAAGATTTTCCAAGGCATTAGATATACCATGGAAGACAGTGAAGACAGTCATCATCAAGTGGGGAAAATATGGCACAACAGTGACATTACCAAGAACTGGACATCCCTCCAAAATTGATGAAAAGACGAGAAGAAAACTGGTCTGGGAGGCTGCCAAGAGGCCTACAGCAACATTAAAGGAGATGCAGGAATAACTGGAAAGTACTGGCTGTATGGTACATGTGACAACAATCTCCCGTATTCTTCATATCCAAACAACATCCAAATCAACAAAGGAATGGCTTCACCAGAAGATTAAAGTTTTGGAATGGCCCAGCCAGAGCCCAGACCTGAATCTGATCGACAATCTGTGAAGTGATCTGCAGAGGGCTGTGCACAGGAGATCCCCTCGCAAATTGACAGAGTGAATTTGCAAGGAAGCATGGGCAAATATTGCCAAGTCGAGATGTGCCATGCTGATAGACTCATACCCAAAAAGACTTAGTTTAAGGGTGTGCACACTTAGGCAACCAAATTATTTTAGTTTTTTTATTTTTACTTCCCTCCACCTAAAAGATTTCAGTTTGTTGTTCAACTGAGTTGTACAGTTTAAAGGTTACATTAAAGGTGGAAAACGTTCTGAAATGATTTATCTTTGTCTAATTTTTTTTGCATCACAGAAACCTGACATTTTAACGGGGGTGTGTAGACTTTTTATATTTACTGTACCTACCCAAGCTGGGAGATTTTTCCCCATTTTGGGAGATTTCCTCACATATACATACCAAACTTGGAGATTTCCTCAGTTGCATACCCAGGTTGGGAGATATCCTCACATACACATATCTGGAGATTTTTCACTCACTTTGGGATATTTCCTCAGATCTGCCTACCCAAGTTAGGATATTTCTTCTCACTGTGGGATATTTCCCCACATTTACATACACAAGTTGGGAGATTTCCCCTCTCTCTGATAGATTTCCTCACATTTACCTATCATAGTTGGGAGATTTCCCCTCACTTTGGGAGATTTCTTCTCATACACATATTGGGAGTTGTCCCCTGACATTGGGAGATTTCCTCAGATTTACCTGAAGTTGAGAGTTTTTTCCCCTCACTTTGGGAGATTTCCTCAGATATTTATACCCAAGTTGGGAGATTTCCTCAGATACCATACCCAAGTTGGGAGATTTCCCCTCACGTTGGGAGATTTCCCCTCACTTTGGGAGATTTCCTCACATATACATACCAAACTTGGAGATTTCCTCAGTTGCATACCCAGGTTGGGAGATATCCTCACATACACATATCTGGAGATTTTTCACTCACTTTGGGATATTTCCTCAGATCTGCCTACCCAAGTTAGGATATTTCTTCTCACTGTGGGATATTTCCCCACATTTACATACACAGGTTGGGAGATTTCCCCTTACTTTGGGAGATTTCCTCAGATATGCATACCCAAGTTGGGAGATTTTCTCAGATACCACACCCAAGTTGGGAGATTTTCCCTCACTTTGGGAGATTTCCTCTCATACACATACCCATATTGGGAGATGTCCCCTCACATCAAAAGATTTCCTCAGATTTACCTAAAGTTGGGAAATTTCCTCTTACTTTGGGAGGTTTCCTCAAATTTACCCACCCACATTGGGAGATTTCCTCACATACAGTGCACAAATCAACAGTGGCAGATTTCCCCTCACTCTGGGAGATTTCCTCAGATATTCATACCCAAGTATGGAGAGTTTCTTTCATACACATAACCATATTGGGAGATGATCCCTCACATTGGAAGGTTTCCTCAGATATCCATACCAAAGTTGGGAAATTGGCAAATTTCCCCTCACTTTGGGAGATTTCCTCTCATACACATACCCATATTGGGAAATGTCCTCTTACTTTGGAAGGTTTCCTCAGATTTACCCACCCATGTTGGGAGATTTCCTCTCATACACATACCCATATTGGATTTCCCCTCACGTTGGGAGATTTCCTCAGATATCCATACCCAAGTTGGGAGATTTCCCCTCACTTTGGGAGATTTCCTCTCATACACATACCCATATTGGGAGATGACACCTCACATTGGAAGATTTCCTCAGATTTACCTAAAGTTGGGAAATTTTCCCTTACTTTGGGAGGCTTCCTCAGATTTACCCACCCACGTTGGGAGATTTCCTCTCATACACATACCCATATTGGGAGATGATCCCTCATGTTGGAAGATTTCCTCAGATATTCATACCCAAGTTGGGAGATTTCCTTTTATTTCACATACCCATATTGGGAGATGTCCCTCACATTGGAAGATGTCCTCAGATTTACCTACAGCTGTGAGATTTCCCCTCACGTTGGGAGGTTTCCTCAGATTTACCCACCCACGTTGGGAGATTCCCTCACATACAGTGCACAAACCCACAATGGCAGATTCCCCTTCACTTTGGGATATTTCCTCAGATTTACATACCCAAGTTAGATTTCCTCTCGTACACATGCTCCCTCACAACATACCCGTGTATAGTTTGGCGGTACGTTGATATCATTATATCTCACCAAACACAAAAAACTGAGCTCCTACGTTTTTGTAAAGCAGTGAGAACTCCTAACGCCAGCCCTTACACCTTTCCACGACGTTCTGCCTCCTGTAGCATCACCTCACAGCGTTACCACACTCTGCCCTTTACAAAGATGGCCGCTGCCTGGCTTCATACGCCACCGAAGTGACGTCCTTCCCGTGCTGACGTCTTAGCATCCTTTAACTCCAGCATGGCGGCCACCAGTGGTCCCCGCGTGGAGGGAGACTTCTTGGGGTTCAGCGCGCTGTCCAAATGCGGGCGGAAGGAAGCGGAGAAGAGGAAGCGGGTGAACCGTAATAAGAAGAAGAGCTGGAAGCGGCACAGCGATGTCCGGGATGTGGAGGACTTCCTGGAAGACGTGCGGCTGCAGGAGAGGACTGCGGGGTGAGAGCCTGGTGGAGGGGAGTCTGTCCTGGGGTTCAGTGTCCTAGCCTCCCCCCTCACCTTGGGGGGGCCTTCTACTTGTAAAGTGCTCCTACAGACTAAACATTATCTGCTTTGGATGGAGTAGGGAGGAGTGAACCTCTTTTCTGGTGTTTGTGTTCAATTGGGGAAACTTTCCTGTCCCAGAGATGTAGCCGAAGTTAGAGGAAATCTCTTAAAGTGGACATACATTATATAACCTGATTGTACAATCTTCTTTCGACCCATGAACATCTATGCAGTGGTCTGTGTGATTGGATACAAATGGATTGGGTTGTATAGATGTGTTCCTCCTAGTACTGTACATAGTTATGGGAAATCAGATTGTACAATCAGGTTGTAGTGTTTATGGCAACTATTAGACACACGTGTTCCCATTGGAAGGTTTTCCCTTTCCTACTGCTGTTGTGACAACTCTAAAATTTTAGATTTCCTCTCACTTTCTGGTCTTGGGGACAAATGGTGAGGGTGACTATTCCCAACAGGGGACACAGGGTACAGTTCACTAAGGGCTCGTTCACACTTGGCTGTTTTACCAACGCTTGCCAAACGCCCCTATAGCGTTTGGCAAGCGTTGGTCCGGTGTTTGCGGAGCGTTTCTTAACGCTCGGCAAATGCTCCGCAAATGCCGCATGCGCGGTTTAGCGGAGTTTGCTAGGCATTTGCGGAGCGTTAATAAGCGCCCCACAAACGCCTATAATACAGTTTGAGTGGTGTTACCGCTCCCCAACCGTGTTGCAACCGCACCGCAAACGCCGGGCTTTTGCAGAGTGGCACCATAGACGAGAATAGGAGGCTTCAACGCCTCCTGACTCGACCAGAGGCGTCTGTTTTGACGCAACACGAACGCTCCCCTTAGAACAGCACCATGTGCTGTAATGTGCAGAATTGGCAGAGGCGTTTGGGAAGTGGTAAAAACGCTTCCCAAACGCCTCTCTGCTGCCTGCACACAACGCTAGTGTGAACGTAGCCTAAAGGTTACCGCATACGATAACACAGTCACGTGAATCATTTGCATATATTATGAGTTAAAGTAAAATATCCAATGTGATGTAAATACCGCACATTTGTTAAAATGGTGAGATAAATACCTACAAAAAGAGAATTCATTAAACATACATATATTCGCTCACCTGGTGTTTGCTGGCGGCATTTTAAAAATAACAATTAGAGCCGGGGTCGGCATCCCCCCTCACACGTGCTAGACGTGGCATGCAGTTGTATTAATGATGGCACGTGAAGGCAGCCTGGGACACCCTGCACATCGGGAAAGCGGGCTGATCGGTGCTTGCTGCGGGCTGTACAGGAGGAAGCCCCGCTAGCGATTTGCCGCCCACCCCATTTGGCTTGCCCTTCATTTAGCTAACATTAGCTGTGCTCAGCCAGACCAGCCAGAGGCTCGAGGGACCTGGGGCCGATGCGTCGAGGTGCGGACCTGGGGCCGATCTGAGGCGTCGAGGTGCGGGAACTGGGGCCGATCTGAGGCGTCGAGGTGCGGGACCTGGGGCCGATCTGAGGCGTCAAGGTGCAGAAATCGGAGTGATCTTTACAGTAAAGGTGCAGGATTTTAAGTGATCTGAGATGTGAAGGTGCGGGAATTCGGGAGGTGTGAAGGTGCAGGAATTGAGAATTAATTGAGGCATGAAGGTGCAGGAGTTGGGGTGATCTGAGGTGTGAAGGTGCAAGAATTCGGAGGTGTGAAGGTGCAGGAATTGGAGTGACCCGAGATGTGAAGGTGCAGGAGTTGGGGTGATCTGAGGTGTAGAAGGTGCAGGAATTCGGGAGGTGTAAAATGCGGGTATTGGAGCAGTGTGAAGGTGCAGGAATTGGGGATGAACTGTGGTATGAAGGTGCAGGAATTGGAGTGATCTGAGATGTGAAGGTCCAGGAAGTGTTGTGTTCTGAGTTCAGGAATTGAGGTTGATCTGAAATTTAATGGTGCAGGAATTGAGGTGATCTGAGGTGTGAAGGTGCAGGAATTGTGGTGCTGTGATGGTGCAGGATTTGGAGATAATTTGAAGTGTGTTGGTGCAGGAATTGGGGTGATTTCAGGTGTGCAAGTGCAGGATTAGGGGTGGTCTGACGTGTGCAGGTTCAGGATTAGGGGTGGTTTGACGTGTGCAGGTTCAGGATTAGGGGTGGTTTGACGTGTGCAGGTTCAGGATTAGGGGTGGTTTGACGTGTGCAGGTTCAGGATTAGGGGTGGTTTGACGTGTGCAGGTTCAGGATTAGGGGTGGTTTGACGTGTGCAGGTTCAGGATTAGGGGTGGTTTGACGTGTGCAGGTTCAGGATTAGGGGTGGTTTGACGTGTGCAGGTTCAGGATTAGGGGTGGTTTGACGTGTGCAGGTTCAGGATTAGGGGTGGTTTGACGTGTGCAGGTTCAGGATTAGGGGTGGTTTGACGTGTGCAGGTTCAGGATTGGGGGTGGTTTGACGTGTGCAGGTTCAGGATTAGGGGTGGTTTGACGTGTGCAGGTTCAGGATTAGGGGTGGTTTGACGTGTGCAGGTTCAGGATTAGGGGTGGTTTGACGGGTGCAGGTTGGTTTGACGTGTGCAGGTTCAGGATTAGGGGGGGGTGGTGTGCAGGTTCAGGATTAGGGGTGGGAGGTGGGCAAGTACAGGAATTGGAGATGATCTGAAATCTGTTGGTTTTGGAATTGGGGTGATCTGAGGGGTGAAGGTGCAGGATTTGGGGCTGATCTGACTGTGTGTGTGTGTGTAGCTGGCACTCTGTTTCTTCAGGGGGAAAAAAAAAAATGTTGGCACACTGTGCTCAAAAGGCTGCCTACTTCTGAATTTGAGGAATTCTGCACTGGCCAGAAAGTGAAACGTATACAATGTATCCGTGTGGAAATGTTCTCCCTTTCGAGCTCAGGAATGAAAATAAATTGTAACATTTCATCAGAGAGAAATCATTTTTGTGCATGAAAGCACACTACAATGTTTTCATATATTCACAGTATTGCTGTGTGCATTCTGCTGCAATGTTAGCCTGCAAACAAAATTGTAAAAAAACACCAAAAATAACGAAAAATGTAAGTGCTAAATAGCCTAAAACATAAATATTTAACGTATTCGGTAAATAACACGTTTCTTAGTGAATTTACTACTTTTGAAATAAATACTGCATGCATTATTTTAACTCTCAAATTCATGCAGTATTTATCTTAGTACATTAACCCCACAGACAGCAATAAAGACCTAGCAGAGTATAAACCCCTGGTGCCCAATCTGTGGGCTTTTGGCACTTTGTGTGCACCCCTGGGGGCCCTGCAAGCATCAATCTGTGTTTCTCTATTGCCCAGTTATAGTTGTCTATGACTATCTCGAGCATGTCTCCCTCTCCAACAATTCCTATAGAATTTCAGCAGTCTCTGTGGCCGGCTGTGGTGTGCGTGCGGCACGGTCTGTGGCGTGTTACTTGTGGGGTGCCCTGCCCTTGGTGGAACATTCAGACTTCATGGAGGGGGAGATGCCCGGTAATGGGGAGACCACCATACAGCGAATGGAAATGCCACCGATATCTGTCCTCATATAAACCTCTGAGCTCTATTTTTTTTACTAATGCAGTGCGAATCCTGTGCGTTTCCTGCATTGCATTCGCACAGCATCCATGCGATCTGTTGCAGGGATCAGTGTTAAATTAAAATCACCCGAAACAGATTGCAAAATGCAGTGCGATTGCCAGAATCGCGTTGCATGGGTGTGAACACCCATGCAGTGCTATTCAGGTGAGGCCAAAAAAAGGATCCTACACCATTTTGGTGCGGATGTGATTTGAGCCATATAAAATGTGTGGCTCAAATCGCACCTCACAGACATCGTATGTGATTTGCCCAAGAATGCGGTGCGATTCCTGTGCAAATCACATGTGGTGTCCTGCACCATGCAAGTGGGAATCTAGCCTGAACGTACGGCCTATACCAGCTCTCACCCCACCCCCCTGACTAGCTCTCTCGTAAAAGCAATCCGAGTGGCTAACTAGCATGCTGTTCTGTCCCACTGAAGAACCCAATCAACCAGCTGACACTTCTGCCAGCTGATCACAGAGGCGGACAGACTGGAGCCGCACTATCCGCCTCTGATATAGGAAACCGTAAGCAATGAGCATACATTCCGTCCAGTTTCCCTGGATGTAAACTGTACCATTTTTTTTAACAATAAAAGCATTTAATCGCATAGATCTTGGTGTAATCAAATCCTTTATGGGGTAGAGGAGGGATGTCCCATCCCCCCCATGCACATGTGCAAAGGTGAACACGCGTCAGTCCCGCACACATGCTAACCGCCATCAACCCACACGTGAGGTATTACCGCAAACGTCCGATCATGAGCAGCAATTCTAGCACCAGACCCCTCTAAAGTGGTAACCTGTAAAGGTTTTTAAAGTGTCGTCTATGGATCGTAAATGTACATAGTTTGCTGCTGTTGCACAGGCCAGCGCACTTTTAAAGCATTACACGTTTGATATCTTTTTACTCCGCGTACGATCATCTTATTTATTTTTCCAAAAAAGTTGCTTCTGAAAAGTCACTGCATCAATACCATATAAAAAAAAAAAATGCAACACCCACCAATTCTCTAGGGCCGCTGCTTTAAAAAAATATATAATGTTTGGGGTTTCTAAATAATTTTCTAGCAAAAAATAAACAAGTTTGTCGCCACAAAGCCCCTTTTCAGAAAGCACCTCTGCCTAATAAAAAAGCATCAACCTTTCAGATTTTACATCCTGGCAAAAAAAAAAAAAAAAATTTTTTTTTTTTTTCTCAGAAGTAGATTTTCATGAGGGACAGAGACTCCGGACCTCGGTTTTAGTCCCTTGGACAAGTAGTTTTTTTTTTTTTTTTTTTTTTTTAAATTTCCGCCCCCCTGAGTGTATATGGCGTACACACATTGATAACTAACAGGTTCTATCTCCTCCATTTCTTTTTGACCTGTTAAAAGTGATACTAAAGCTAAAAACATTTTTTTGCCTATAGAACTATAGGCAAAACATTTTTTTCTTCGTTTTTGGACAGAGAAGGGAAGGTTATAACTGCTGTCAGGTTTGTTTTTTTTTTTTTTTTTTTTTTTTTTCTTCATGTGTGTCCCATTGTGGAGATTCCCTTAATTTCCTGTCCTATAGCCAAACAGGGAAGTGAGAGGCAATCCCTGCAAATTGAGGGAATTCCTTGGGGGTCCCAGAACTAGTGTCCCCATTGGAAGATTTCCCCCCTATTACTTTTCTGGGGACAACCCAAAATTTGGGGTTTTCTTTTACTTTCAATGATTACAGTAAACAGGACAAATTGGGGGGAATCTCCCTAATGGGCACAAAGACGACAATAAAAACTGACAGGGGTTCTAATCCCTCTCCACTCTATCCAAATTTAAAAAAGTTTTTCTTTTAGGTGTACTTGCATAGTTGTGTATTCCTTGCATTAAAGTGGTTTTGAAGGTTCCAGATTTTTACCTTCGCGCATTCTATGCATGAAGGTAAAAAAACGGTGTGCCCCCCCCCCCCCCAATACTTGAACCCCATTGCAATCCAGAGATGTGCATGAGAGGCTCTGCTCTATGGGGACTCTCCCTCTTCATTGGCTGAGACAGCAACGGGAGCCAATAGCTCCCTCTACTTTCAATCACATCCAGTAGCCGATGAGGAAAGGGTGGGGCCAAGCCGCAGCTTTGTGTGTGAATGGACACGTCTTGCTCTGGGGTCACTCAGTAGGAGGGAGGAACAAGGAGCGCCAGCAGGGGGACCTGAGAAGAGGAGGATTGGCACTGCTCTGTGCAAAACCATTGCACAGAGCAGGCAAGTATAACATGTTTATTTTAAGCCTGCCTTCAGTATCACTTTAAGGTTAAAAAAAAATTCTGTATTTTTCTGTTCCACCACCCCCCTTCCCTTCCCCATGAAGGGAGAATAAATCCAGCGCTGTGCATGGCTGCCTCTAGCCCCCCCCCCCCCCCCCCCCCCTTCTTCCTCTTAACACAGTACTAGAATAGGAGCCATTGGCATAAAAGAGGTGGAGCTAAGATCGCTGGCGCGGGACCTGATAAGAGGAGGATCAGGGCCGCTCTGTGCAATACCACTGCACAGAGCAGGTGAGTATAACATGTTTATTTTAATATAAAATTAGACTTTTAGTAACATTTTAAATATACCACTGAAAGTGTTTTTTGTTTTATCTGTTTGATTACATAAAAAAACAACAAAAATCCAGTTATTAGGCTCCTGTGAATTCTGTAGTAATATCTCAAGCACTGATTTCAGTCCTACTTGGCCTGCCTCTGTGAACTATAGGGCACCTCCCCCTGTGGGTTATCTGTAGTCCTAACACTTCCTATTTTAGGGCTCGTTCACACCTGCACTGGTCTCTGGAGAGCGATCCGCATTCGGAGAGAGCATTTGACAAGAACTGAGAAGGCATTGTTTCCTCCTCCCCACCGCCAGCTTTAACCACTTGAACCCCACACTTGCACATGGTTTGTGGGGCATTTGGAGGGTCGCGTTTAGCAGGTGCTATACCTGTGTAAAAGCGATGGGGAATAGTTCCTTCTGTGACACAAACGTTCTGCCACTGTGTACTCCCTCAGTCACTGCCTCTGCAGCTAAAGCAGCACTCAATCATAGGGTTTTACTGCCCCCTAACCACTAGTGGGAATGAGCCCTTAGTGCAGGGGTCTCCAAATTTTCTAAACAGTCTACTGTCCTTCAGACTTTGGGGGGGCTGAGCTGTGGCCAGTGTGAGTAGAAAATGCTCTGGTGTCAGAGTAAACAATACCCCATAACTGGTGTCAGGGTAAGGGACAATGTCCATTGTTGGTATCAGGTAAAGGAGCACTGCCCCATCATTGGTGTCAGTAATTATGTCCTATTGTTGGTGTCACTTGGAGGAAGTGGGAGGCATAGTGTCCCAAGTGCCAGACAAAGGCAAGCCAAAGGCCACATCCAGCTCCCAGGATGCAGTTTGGCGACTTCTACTATAGTAGCAGAGTGCACATAGACCTGGAATCCTTTCCTGATCTGCCGGATGATCAGATGATGGCTGTGTGCAGTGTGACTGTTCAGATGAGTGTTCATAGATCACACACAATGTTATGGGCTAGTGACAAGAATTTGAGAGAGCTTAAAATGTGTGAATTTGTCTTTTCTTTTAACAGTGGTCTGCTAGCAGAGAAGGAAGATGAGAGCTTGTTCTTTGTGGACACTGGTAATAAAGTAAAAGGTGAGCACCCCCAAACCTCCAGGAGTACTATTGAACAGTTTTTTTTTTCCTCTTTTAGTAGTTGGGCCTGTGGGCTGTTGGGTCAATGGTCCCAGATTCGCTATTGCCTATGTGGGATTTTTGACTAGAGGTATTCCCGCTTGTGGGCAGGTAATGCCCATGCCTGGATTCCACTCTGTAGCTTACAGTGCCAACTCATGAAGCCCCAAGCAATTGCATTTTTTTCTTTGGCCTCCATCATTGCATTCTATGGGATGCTGGGAGGCAAATACGACTTGATGTTTTTTGGTGTCCTTTTTTTTTTATTTTTAGGACTTCTGGGTGGAGGTTGGCGAGACCCCCTGTGGCATCTGAACCATTGCACAGTATATTCTGACACTGGGGGGAACAGACTTGGTGTCACTGATGTCCCCAGTGACACCAATAGCGTCATATCCATTGATGATATACCTTTTTAATTCTGTAATGATTACAGTAATCCATAGAATCAAATACCAGCTGTAGTAGCGCAGTATGGTTTGATGCACACTGTTGTTTTTGAGTTATGTTAACCTCTTTTTTGCCTATGTAACGCTTTAGCACTCACACACTGCATATCCATAAATGTCTGAGGGTTCTGTGCTGAGGGTTCTATGCTTGCTTTCAGCACCGTGAATGAGCTGTTAATGGACGGCTCTCGGCATTTAGGTAGGGCCAGCTCTTGATCATGTGACCACTGTGACAGGCAACACAGTGGTCATGTGATTGGGGGGGTGGGCTTGGGATGGATTGACAAGGCATATAGACCAATTTAACTCTTTCGCTGCCAGTCATTTGTGTGCAAAAAAAACGCAAAGTTTAAAAAAAAATCGTTTTAGGCCTGAAGATTGATTAAACCCACAGATATTTTATATTCGTCATGTAATAGCTCAAAATTTATGAAGTTAAACATTTCAGTAAATACTACAACTCCGTTAATTTTAGGGCAGACATGCAATATGATACGCATTTCTTGGTAAAATATTAAAGATGAGGTCACATGGAGAAAATATATGGCCAACATGTCAGGCATGAAGAAATGCACGCACCTGTGATACGGCGACAATCTAGAGTACTCTTTCATGCTGTTTAAAAGCACCTACATGTAATTAATGTAAAGGTAACAATGAATAAAGGGCCTAGAATTATGGCTCTCAATTTGACATGCACAGCTATATGCAACTTCTGCAGTGCAACCAATGTTTTCGTGCCTAGGCAGCCCCAACTTTTGTGTTCTAAAAGACACCTGACGTCTCATCTGCCTTCCATTCCATGACTGTTACCGGGGTGTGTGGGAATTTCCATCTTGACAGACAATAGTTGGCTTGACAGATTTACACACAGTGTGCCAACGTATGACATATGCTGATAGCAGCAAAAGCGTTAAAGGGACACAGGAAGGGGTTAATAAAGTAAAATCTACTCAAAACAATTTTATTTTTGGTGAGAGTTGTCTATAGGACCTTATTTAAAATAAAAAAACTTATTGGTGAGGCACAATTTTCCATTTTATTGAATGTATAACACTTGATATTTGTCATCTTTATAGATTTGAAGTTCAACAAACGTGTAAAGCCCTTGAGGATAGACCTCATTTTACAGCCAGATTCCAAAGTACCTCCACCCAAAGAGTAAGTACCTGCTGTGTTGTGTTTTGGGATAGATAACGTCCCACCTGCAAGGAGAAATGTTTTGGGGGCTGATTGATAAAAACGTAATTGATTATATTACCTGAAAGATGTAACACTTGTCCAAAAACGAAAGTTCTATGTTCTGTTTCAGAAGTGTTTGGTGTGGCTGTCCACCTCTTATCTCTTAACCACTTGCCCTTCTGACGATTTACCCCCCTTCCTGACTAGGCCATTTTGTGTGTTATGGCGCGGCGTTACTTTAACAATTGTGCGGTCATGCAGCACTGCACCCAGATGGCATTTACGTCTTTTTTTTTTTTTTTTTTTTCCCCCCCACAAATTGAGCTTTCTTTCGGTGCGTTTTGATCGCCTGTGCATTTTTTATTATTTGCGCTATAAAAAGACAATTTTGAGGGGAAAAAAAATGTATTTGACTTTTTGCTAAACATATCCAGTAGAAAAAAATTTAAAAAATCAAATTTCTTCATAAATTTAGACCAAAATGTATTCTGCTACATGTCTTTGCTAAAAAAAAAATCCCTATATGTGAAAATGAATTGGTTTACGTGAAAGTTATAGCGTTTAGAAATGGCGGTATAGATACTGGAATTTTTTACTAGTAATGGTAGCGAACTGCGACTTATAGCGGTACTGCGGCGAACGTTCCGATACTAGGAGGAACTGACTTGGTGTCACTGACATCCCATGCTAAAAAAAAAAAAAAAGCATTGACACTGTACTAATGGCTCTGGGCAGGAAGGGGTTAATGTGAGGCGATCAAAGGGTTAACTTTGTGCAGGGAGTGTTTTACTAGGGGGCCGTGTAAGTGTGCTGCACTGTAAGCATACTGCTTTGGATGGCTGTGCTGTGCCCGAGCTGACGGGGGAGAACTGTTAATAAACAAAACAGTCGTCCTCCACGTCGGAGATGCTTGGTTGGGACCCGGTGATTGACGGCATAGGTAGGGGTGTGCACACACACACACACACACACACACACCCCACACACACCATAACATACACACACACACACACACACACACACACACACACACGCAGTATGCCACCCTGCAGCTATCTGCTATAGGGTGGCGGGAAAGCTGTTAATGGGCACAAAGGCTCTCTGCATGATTCTTGTGCACTAGGGGGCAGTATTTGTCGGGCACAAATTTTAAAGTGGAGCCCCCTCAAAAAATGAAGTTAGCAGCAACAAATCCTGTAGCTGCTGACTTTTAATATAAGGGCACTTGCCTGTCCAGGGATCCAGCAATGTCCTCACCTGAGCCGATTCTTTAATCAGCTTCAGGTGCAGGCGCTGGCATCTTAAAGAAAAACCTGCACTGAAGCCTTGCAACTTCACAGCTGGTTTCTTGGTGTGCATGCACAAAGCGTGCAGTGCTTTTTAAATGGTCCGCAATCATCTGGGACCTGTGAAGTGTCCCACTTAAGAGGGGGGCACTGAACTTTGGGCTCAGATCGGCACGGCACATCTGATCGGAAGTGGGAGTGAGTACCTGTCAAAACCAGGTACACACTGTAACGGAACCGGACCCTGACTGCACTAGGGTATTTCTGTTAGACTCCCACTTCCCTGTCCGAACACAGATCCACGGACCCCACCACTGACCATACAAGACGGCAGCAGACTTAAAACAGGAAATGGACTGCTTTATTTTAACACACACAAGATATATACACAAGGCGGGGCAATACATTTAGTAACAAGAGACACATCCCAACAGACAGTGCAGTCAGGAGGGCTGCTGGAAACACCCCCCACCACCCACCAAGTCAATACACATAAACACATACCTCCCATAATAGTTTGCTCACAAGCAAGACACAAGAGAACAATGGGACCACGTGTCAGTAAACAATGAACAACCCCACCTATATATGTCTACTCAATAGCAGGACATTTCACCTTGTACCCCTAACAGGCACAGGGTGACTTACACATAATAGGGATATGGGGAGCTGAGACAGGGGTCTCCCCACCTCTCCAAAGGGGACTGTGTTCCATGGGCCCCCCACCCAAAGTGACTCCCGTCACACACGCTCAGCACTCCCAAATAACTGCCAAATGTGAGGGGGAGGGGAAGGATACAAACAGGTGGAATGTCCCCTTTTGGGTGAATTTCTTCTTTAAAATGGTTCTAGTGACTGAAGGTTTTTGTTTGATTTTGTTGTACCTTAATGCACTTTGTGCATTAAGGGGAAAAAAAAAAAACCTGAGTGTAGCTCCCATTCCCTGGTTTTTCAGTTTGCTTACTATATTTAAGTACTGCCTCTGTTTGTTCCCTGATATACTGGCAATTTCTAAGCGAAAATGTTATTTATTTTGTTACTCTCTTTGTGCGTCACATTATTCTTTTTTTCTTTAGCATTTCATCTCACCAAATACCCAATGGGAAAAAGCTTAGGAGGAAACGGGAGCGAATTGAGAAATTAGAGAAGAGGGGGATTCTTCCTCGATCAGAGAGACTTCTGAGAGGACAGTTAAACAAGCCCAAAGCACACAAACCAGAGGCCAACAACAACCCATCCCGTGGATTCTATGATATCTGGGGAGACAGCAGTAAGTAGCAGCACTGTAGTTCTTTCTTTAGTTCTGAGGACACTTTCCAACCTACTAGATCTTTTTATGTTTTTTTCCTTTTGCAGATCCCTTGGATTCTGCTCTAGAAGGAAAAGACCAATGGTATTTAGAACAGACCAAGAAGAGCCGTATCAAGGTAAATGCTTTTTGCAAACATTTAGTAAAATACAAAAAAGGCTCGCTTATAAAAACCAAGGCAAAGTGACATCTATACCTATCAGTTAGACGTTTGCTTTAATGTCATTTTGTATGGAAGAGGGCAGCTTTTTTTTTTACCATCGTCGCCTAGAGTCATCTTCCTGCAAGTTTCTTTATTGCTGATTTACAATGCTTTATTCTGCATTGTTAGTGTAGTGACGGACATCTTGGTGGAGAAGTGTGGCTTTGCTTCCTCTTGTCAGTGTGTCTCCCTTAGGACTGGTGATGAAATGCCTGGAGGGTTAATGATCTGTGAGTAACAAGAGCGATAGAGGAAGCACAAGTACACAGAATGAAAGAAGCAGCTTTCTCTCCAAGAAGGACAATTGAGAGCAGCACAGTAGTGGCATCACCAAATATCAAGGCTTTGTTAAAGGCACAGTGCCTTTTGTTGTGACAAATACAGATAGTACCTAGGTACTGTCACATGTCAAAGTGCACTGCAATTTTTCAGGGAGAGTTATGGGTAACGTTTTAGAGTACTTGGTTTGCCACAATTAACATTCCTAGTTTTTGGGTTTGTTTTCCTTCGAAATGGGTAATCCTCAATTTTAAATTAAGGTCTTCTTAAGTACTTTGCTGAATGTGTGTTGGATTGTGATCATTTCCCCAGATATGCAGTAAGAGATTTTGTTTTACCACTAGCCTAGCTGACGTACCTGTGTTTCCCTCTGCTGGATTAGATTTCCAGCAGTCAATCCCTGAAGCATGGAGATAGATAGATATAATGTGTGTAAATGTATTAGGGTTAATGGGTTGACATAGCTGGAATGACACAACGAGCCAATGGAGTGAACGAATAGGAATGACACACAGGTCAGTTCTGAAGATCTGAGGCCTTGGTATCTGCTGCAAGGGTATAGCTCATACTGGAGAAGCATTTCCTCTTCATCAACCTCTAGGGTGGGGCTGTGGTCTGCAGGTTATTTCTGTCCCCTAGTAAACTCTGGAGCAGATTTACTAAAACTGGTGCACAGAGAATCTGGTGCAGCTGTGCATGGTAACCAATCGGCTTCTACCTTCAGCTTGTTCAGTTAAGCTTTGACAATAAAATCCAGAAGCTAATTGGTTACAATGCATAGCTGTCCCAGTTTTAGTATATCTCCCCCACTGTGTCCAGTAGTAGGTTGGAGACTAATATGTGCTGGCGTTCATCATCCTTGTGTTTCCTGTCCTTTCATTAGGTTACCTCAGTAATTTACCAAAAACAATGACAAAGCAATGTAAATGAAACTGTAAGCAAGTCAGGATACTTTACCCTTCTCATGATCCCTTTTACTTTTCCTCTCTCCATGCCTGACCACCTCTGGATTTGTGGGTTTTTGTTTTCCTCTGCAGCGTCCAGGGAGGCTGAACAAGAAACCATCTGAGCTTCCTGCAGTTGAAGTTGCTGCTCCTGGGGCCTCCTACAACCCAACATTTGAGTCACACCAGGTAAAACTTTGGTTATGTTATGCTATCTTTACTTTTGTTAACACCTTGTCAGAGTGATCAAGTGAAAATATCACAGTATGTGCTCCTGTGTAACTGGCCAATGCTTCAGACTTCTGCTGCAGGACTGTGTACGTAACAAATGACATGTACTAGAGATGAGAACATATTGGTATTTGCATTCTGGTAATTGCAACAAATATATAGGGATGATGGAGATCTATTGTAGGCTTTTGACAATGGCCCATGGTAGAGGAGAGGCTGTACACACAGACTGCAACAAAGGTAATCCAACATGGACAGTGTCACTTTGCAAATGCAAAAGTCCTGGTAATGACACATTTTGGTTTTTTTTAATCCACATTTATAACACTGTTCCAGGAAAATAATAAAAATGCTAACAAATGTACTTGTAGATAATAAACTTCAATTATTGTAAAACTTTGATCTTTTCATCAAAGGAAAACTTTATTTGTAATGTATTTCGTCAGGTGCTGCTTCTCAAGGCTCATGAGGTAGAAGTGAAGAAGCTGAAGCAGGAGGAGAAAGTGGAGAGACAGTTGAAGCTCCCCACTGGGGCTGAAGTCCCCACAGAGGTTTGTCTTTTCTAGCCATGTGTTTCTGAAATATCATCCCTTGTCATCTGAGTAGGTAATAGTGTCCATTTCGATATTTGGCCTTCCCAGGTTATTGGATATGTCTTTATTAGATACTGCGAGCAGCAACATTTTATTTTCTCCCACTGTCTAGTTGAGTACAATGATGAAATGAGGGTCATTATCCTTTCGCTGAAATCGGTTTATCCTTTTAATGGAATCCAGCAGGGGAAGATGAGACTTTTTTTTTAATTATTTATTCCGCAATTAACAGAATGGGGTACTTTCCACAACAAGTGACGCAAATGTGAAAGTATACAGTCTTTATAGAACTGTTATCTAGGTATAATAAAAGGAAGCCCCATCCTGATAAATTCTAGGTTTGCTAGAAATTCAATTCTCGCTTTGCATTATTCGTTTCAGACATAGGGTAAGCATGTGCCTTCCTGGTATTGTCATTGTGGATGACATTTTGTAGTATTAAACAGAAAAAGGGGGTGGGGGATTATGGGAAGGTTATAGCTAGGAAGAAAGCGGAATACAACCATGAAGTGGAAAGAGAAGGGACTCCGGACAAGCTCTTTTTTGGCATCCCTTATCTTGGGACCAGTCAGCATGTGTGTGTAGGTCGGGAGTACTCTTGTGTGAATCAGAAATCATTCCATTAAAACCAGCTGGAACAAAATTTATACATTCTCTTTCTTCCTGGGTGAAAATGCGACTAGGTATATTTCCCATTTCAAAAGAAATGCGTTTGTGAAATCTTCATCTGGACTTCTAAGAAAGGTGTAAGTGAGGGACAGGGTATGTTGCAGTGGGTTTGGATTTAGGCAATGTGATGTGAAAGCCACTGGACTCATCCCAGGGTGTAAATGTGGAGGTCTAATCTGCATGCCTTGCCAGAGTTTTTATGTGTGATCTGTCAGGTTCTGATGTCCAAGATTGAGCCAGCCCCCCGTTCCTAGGAAGTCTTAAACTGATTCCCAGTGTACTTGATTAAATGCTTTTCTGATTTAAATAAGTTCAGTTAGGCCTCCCATACACTGGTGCTCCTAAATGTGAGTTTGGGAACCTTTTTGGCTTTTTTTTTTTTTTTTTTCCAAAGCCCCTAAACTCAACTCAGTAAAAGCCTATCTGTACATGTACACATAAGCTTTTATCAGAATTTAGCATTCAAGAGAGGAACTTTTTTTGGCCAAAAAAACACATTGAAATGTGCCTTAGCGCTAGCTGCATTTATTTCTTGAGCAAACGCCCATGCATGCATTTTTGTCACGTTCAGTGGCAAGGAGAGCTTGGTGTCCAAGGGAGCTTTAGTGTACGTGTAGCCTTAGTATGTTTCTAGATCATGCAAAATGAATGAGGTTTTAGTGCTGTAGGTTTTATCCTCTGGCTTTTCTGTTGGAAATGAAACGAAGATAAACACTTTAAGGCCGAAAGCCAGGCCACATGATTATAATATATTTCCATTTGTTTTTCCTCCTTATCTCTGGAGTAAAGTGTGTTGTGTTTTTGTTTGGGTTTTTTTTTTTTTTTTTTTAAATCTGATAGAAATTCTGCTTATGGTTGGACATGTTGGTATGACTTCCACTTTGGTGTTTCTTCCAACATCTGTGCAGCATATATAATTAATACCAAACCTGATGTCATGGCGCCACCTCTGTAGGCTTGGTCATGCACTAAATGCAGCTGCTGATGAGCGTCTTCTCCTACACACGAGGCGAACGCAATCCACATGACAGACTGTTTTTAGTATATGGCCAAGCCTACATAGGAGTTGGAGACACACCAGTGCTGGTGTCAATCATGGCTGCAGCACTGATGTTTGCATGAAGGGTGCAAATACAGTCAAAGCTTTTCCAACTGGTCCAACTAAGTACCTTACCAGTATGCTGAGTTTCAAATGATGATGCAAAGCTAAATGCATGGTCTCTGTACTTTCAGGAGAGCCGCCTGCAGGAACTTTGTGAGGGTCTGGTGGAGGAGTCTGATAATGACATGGAAGAAGCTGAGAGCGAGGAGCAGCAAACTGTAGCCCTTCCTCAGAAAGAACGGAAGACAGAGCGCCAGAGGAAGAAGGCGAAAGAGGCCAAAATTCTGGTAAGCACGTTTAAGTGTTGAGCACCAGGCAAATCTCAAAATTCATTAATGTGCAATAAGAATATCATCTTGCACAGTTAGGAAGATTTTACCCGCTTCATGACCAGGCAATTCTTTGCTATTTAGCATTGCAACTTTACCTTGTAACCTGGTAATTGCATGGTCTTGCAACACTGTACCCAAACGAAATTTATATCCTTCCTTTTTTTTTTTTTTTTTTTTTTTTCCACACAAATAGAGCTGACAATGTTGAATTTTTGACAGTGGTATATCCTCACCACTGGGTTTTTTTTCTTTTGCGATTTTATAAATGAAAATATTTGGAAAAAAAAAAACATCCAATAATACATTTTTAAAAATTAAATTTCTTCATAAATTTTTTCCAAAATGCATTCTGCTACGTCTAATAATAATTTAAAAAAAGCATATATTGGTTTTTGCGTAAAAAGTTTTATAGTGCCTATAAAGTGTGTGTGTACTAGAAATTATATTTTTTTTTCTATTTTTTTTTTTTTTTTTTTTTTTTTTTTATCCTACTATCGTTAATCAGCAACTTATAATGGGCCTCTGACTAACTGCCATTGACCTTGCCAGTGACATTAATACAGTGATAACACTATAAACTCTGTATTAATGACACTGGCTAGGAAGTGGTTAACGCCTAGGGCGATCAAGGAGTTAAATGTGCGCCTAACTATGTGTAAAGTGTTCTGCATTTACAAATAGATCTAAGTTTCTAATCCTTGCTTTGCATGGGATGAGAAACTGATTGTTCCCTCTATAGAGAGCTCTGTGTTGATTGTCAACACAGCCCTCTGGGCTTTGATTGTATACAGCCGATCAGCAGGTCCCGGCCATGAATCATTGCTGCCAAACCCAGAAACAAGCAGCGATGTACATCACTTTTCCTGTGCAGCAGGCTAGTCTGCAGTGCATTGCGGGTGATCCGCAAGTGGTTAAAAGCAGCAGAAATATATGCAAATTAGTATATACAATTGGGTATAAAAAAATGTAAACCTGAGAATCAGAATCAAATACTAAAAATCTACCATGTACAATTTAGCAGCAGATTCAAATAGAGACTCGTTCTGTACTGACCTCGGGTCTGCATTAATATTCCAACCAATATGTAAACATACCAAGTAAAACAGATGTTACCCAGTGGAGGGCAGCAGCATCATAGGACAACTGGATTATCACTGGTAAGCTGCATGTAGAGTAGTTTTAATAATATAAAGTGCTGTGAACATCACATTAATGTGACCGAGAAACTCCCTACTGGTCTACTATAAACTAAATAGAAAATGAAATGTGCAAAACCTATAAATTGCGAGACCTGTATTACAGTGAGGGACCCTGGCATAAGTGGGGAAAAAAAAAAATCAACTGATAACCTACTTGCAGAGTGATAAAGGTCAAATATAAAGCAGTATAACCATGACACAAATATAATCTGAAAAGCTTTCCAATGATCAGCTAGATAAAACTGAGCAGAAGATGAAAGGTGCCTCCCAGCAATAGGAAAAGGTCTAGGATCAGTAGTGGAGAGAACATATTGCAGTCCCATCAGGAGTCGAAGGTTTTTTTTTTTTTTTCTATAATTTATTTTATATAAGTTGTTTTTGAGCAAGAATATTCATTTTACTCTTAGGCTTTATTTAGACTTGCTGTTGGAGCAACAAAAATGCACGGTAGAGCCACGTTAATGACAACTCCACCCACCTGAAGCTGCAATAGGTAGCTTATGGGGTGTTTACGTGCAGAGGGCATGATGCTTTGCACCCATGGCAAAGTTCACCTGACATGTAGCAATCGAGGGGCTGCAAGCCAGTGCAACACCACAGTCAAGCAAATAGAGAAGCTTCGCAAATGCCCCACAACCACTTGAAATGCATGCAGTTGAGGCATGATTGTCTGCAAAAATTGGGTTAAAGCAGAAGGTAAGGAGCCATTCCAGTACTTCCTCACTGCCTGAACGCAGATCGAGTTTCAGAGAAAGAGGTAGACTTAGACACCCGTCTAAAGCCTGGTACACACTGTACGTACCGACAGAAGCTTCTGTTGAACACGCAGCTGTACACACGGGCCGGGAGTTGGTTTCTATAGTACTGGCTGATTTTAGCCGATATCCATCCCATGTGCACCCGGCATTAACCACTTGACAACTGGCCATAATTGAATGATGGCTACAATGTGGTTGTCCAGTTCTGGGAGGGCGTCATGACATCCTTCCAGAACGCGCCCCCAGCGATGCACAACCCCGGCGATCTCAGTGCTTGCTGTGTCCTACGGACACAGCTGATCACGTGATGTGGTAAGAGGCCAATCACAGCAGCCTTTTACCACGTGAACAGCTGTGTCCAATGACACAGCAGATCACTGGGTAAATGCAGTTGCCAGTTGTTGGCTGTACTTTCCTCACACTGTCACAGCGTGAGAAAAGTACTGCCGACAACCGGCAGTTGTCGGAAAAGAGATCAGCACTGATGAGCAGTGCCACCCATCTGTATCCATCATCAGTGCCCTCAGCAGTTCCGTCTCAGTGCCATTCAGTGCTGCCTATCAGCCCAGCCTCATCAATGCACATTAGTGAAGGAGAAAAATTACCTGTTTACAAAATTGTATAATAGAAACAAAGAAAAATGTTTTTTTTTTTTTTTTTTTCTTTATACCGCAAAAAATAACGCCCAGCTGCGATTAAATACTACCAAAAGAAAGCTCTATTTGTGTGAAAAAAAAAGACCCAAATTTCATATGGGTTCAATGTTGCATGACCGCAGAATTGTCATTCAAAGTGCGACAGCCCTGAAAGCTGAAAATTGGCCTGGGCAGGAAGGGGGTATAAGTGTCCGGTAGGCAATTGGTTATTCTACCCTTAAACACATGGAGGATGCTTTGTTTTGAATAATAGTGCTTTTCTTAAATTTTACATGTATTTGTAGATATCAAATTGACAGATCTAAAGTACGGTGGGCTGCTGCTTTAATAAATTATTATTGCTCTGTTATTAAACTTTGCTCATAGATCTGTTTGAGCTTATCTGAGGTCTGATGACCCCACCATAGCGTTAATCAGCGATGCCCTTCTCAGGCTTTAAATCCCTGCTTGATAAGTCAGTGCCAGCTGGGCATACAGCCAGAACCAGCTTACACACCCCCCCACCCCCTCCCAGTCCTGTGACTTCTCAGTCTGCTGTCAAGGTGCGTTTTCTGTCTGACACTCGCTAAACCCCTACTGCTTTTCTCTGCTCAGGGAAAGTTGCTATGGGCTCAGGGTTTTCTATCTTGCAGTGAATTATTCCTTTCCAAATTCAAACAGGGAATGTTTTATGTAGCATTTTAAGAATTTTAAATTTGTTGCTTATGCTTGAATAGTGAAGACGAAAAAAAGTAAAAAGTGTATGTATGTATTTCACCTGAAATGAACGGTCTATAATGTTTATCCAGGGTGTATTTTAAAGGATAGAGGCAGAACATCAACCAAAAATTCAGAAAAAACACATGGTACAAATGTTCTAAACTGAGTTGCAGTTCCGTGAGTAAAATAAAGTATTTGATCCCCAAGCAAAACATGACTTGGTACTTGGTGGAGAAACACTTGTTGGCAACCACAAAGACCGTTCTTTTAATTGGTTACCAGGTTTGCACACATCTCAGGAGGGATTTTGGTCCACTCTTCTTTACAGATCTTCTCTAATTGTTTGTTTAAGGTTACTTGGCTGTTGCTTGACAACTCCAGTTCCATCTCCCTCCATAAACTTTCTATAGAATTAAGATCTGGAGACTAGCTAGGCCACTCCATGACCTTTTTTAATGTGCTTCTTGAGCCACTCCTTTTGTTGCCTTGGCAGTATGTTTTGGGTCATTGTCATGCTGGAACACCCATCCATGACCCATCTTCAGTTTTCTAGCTAAAGAAAGAAGGTTCTCATCCAAGATTTTACATTACATGGCCCCGTCCTTTGGCCCCTCAATGCAGAAAAGTCGGTTTGTACCTTTAGCAGAGAAACCGCCCCAAAGCATAGTATTTCCACCTCCGTGCTTGACTGTAGGGATGGTGTTCTTGGGGTCATAGTCAGCATTTTTCTTCCTCCAAACACTGCAAGCTGAGTTAATGGCGAAGAGTCAATTTTGGTCTTGTCTGACTACAGCACTTTCTCTCAGTCCTTCTCTGAATCATGTAGATGTTCATTGGCAAACTTCAAATGAGCTTGTACATGTGCCCTCCTTGAGGAGGGGGACCTTGCGCAGGCACTTCAGGATTTCAATCCATGGCTGTGTATTATTACCAATGGTTTGTTTGGTGACTGTGGTCCAACTGCCTTTGAGATTATTCACAAGTTCCTCCTGTGTAGTTCTGGGCTGATCCCTCACTTTTCTCATGATCATTCTTAACTCATGAAGCAGAATCTTGCATGGAGCTGAAGGTCACAAGCTCCATTTTAGAAAGATTGGGCAGTAAGTAGGTTGGTGGCTGGAGGCATTGGGGGCGAATTAAGGAATTAAGGGTAGAGAAGAGTTTACTAGGTTTGGATGAGAAAGTTTTGATGAGAGTGGTGTAGTAGGTTTGTTGAGCAATGTGGAGGCGAGGCAGGAGTTGTATTTGAGAAGGGCAGATATGTAGAGGATGAACTCTTGCAGCGTTTTAGTTTTACGCCACGCTCTTTCAAGAGCACGGATGCATCTCTTGAGACTTCTGGTATTGTCGGTTTGCCATGGCTGTAGCAGGCGAAGCCTAATTCTGCATGTAGAGAGAGGGGCGAGTGTGTCCAGGGAGGATGGCAGTGAGTTGTAGGCAGAAGTGGTCAGGTCTGGGCAGGACAGGGTTGCGATTTTTATCATAAAAGGCAGTCAGTAGCAGAATGAAGGGAAGGGTTGAGGTGACGATTTCTGCAGGTAAACATTTGCAGGCTGAAGGCATGGGAGGTAGGACACAGAGTGTGAAACTGATAAGGTGCTGATTGGAGAGAGGAAAGAGGATGTTGGAGGGAGTGCCAGAGGTCGGAGAATACGAGGTCAAAGGTGTTGTCATTGGAGTGATTTGTGTCCATTGTATTGGGTTAAAAGAGGAGGTTAAGTTGATAAGTGGCTGAGGTATTAACATTGATTGGAATGTTAGTCACCGAGGATGATGCGTGTACTTCAGAGGAGAGAAAGTAGGGTAGCCAAGCGGAGCAATCATCAAGAAAGCATGAGACAGGGCTGGGAGGCCGGTAAATGACTGCAATCCTCAGATGAACAGGAGAAACAAGACGAATGCAATGCATTTCATAAGAACAGAGGGAAAGGGAGGGAGGTGTAGGAATAACCTGGTAGGTGCTTTCTTGGGAGAGAAGTCCAACTCCACCACCTCTTTTCATCCACTGGGCCTGGGTGAGTGAATCTAGAGGAGGCCACCATGGGAGAGGGCAGCTGGAGAGGCAGCGTCTGATTCCTGGAGCCAGGTTTCGGTAATAGCAAGTAGATTAATGGGAGAGGAAAATTAAAATCAATAGTCACACTCAACTTTGGGGTATAGAGGCTTCTTAGCTGGCTTGGAAGATAAGTCTGGAGTCCGTGTATGAGTTATCCCAGATCCCCGCCATGGCCACTTGCTGGCGAAAGCATAGGTTGAAGTTGAAATGATAATGCTGGCAGAGATGGACTCCAGACCTTGCAGAAGCTCCATCCAAGAGCTGAAAACTTCCCGTTGTCACTGCTTGTACCCCAAAATACAGGGATGCATTTCAAAGCAATCCTTTATCAGGATTGCTTCCAAACCTGTCCTTGTATTTTGGAGTACCATTGTCTACCTCACTAACACTGCCTCCTGGGATTGTGATGTGGACATGCCTGGCGGCATGGGTAAGAAATCAGAAGTGTTGTGCCACACCACTATATAATAGGGTAATTGACATTTTCCTAAGAGATCCAAAATGGTGCTTTTTGTGTAAGAGGGAGTGGGGAGGTAGCGGATGAGAGGAAGTTTGTTTTAGGTCCACTTCAGATAACCGCCAAAAGGAATATCTGTTTTAATATTTTAGGTACTGTGTTGCATGACAAAATAATTGTTAAACTATCACCACACTGAAAAATGGCGTGGTCATGATGGATTATAGACAGGTTAGTACTCAAGTGGTTAAATTCCTTTACAGTAACCCTATAGAAAAGCTACCAAGGGGCGTTTTTTGCAGCACATCTGCTGCTAATGACATCATGGATCAATAAGCTCCATGAGCAGGGCCCTCACATTCCTTCTGTACTGAAAGTATTGTGATTGTACTGTCTCCCTTATATTGTAAAGCGCTGGCCAAACTGTTGGTGCTATATAAATCCTATATAATAATAATAAGCTTGCAGTTGATAGAATGTTAGCACACCTACAACCCCCTACTGTACACAAAATCTTGATCTACTATTTGCTGAATTTCCTTTTAGGTTAAGTGGTCCTTTTTAATCTGTACTTGCCTATTCTGACCACCAGGAGGCACCGTTCCTTCAGAGTGTATGTTTTGTCCTAAGCCTGTAAATCCTGATGTTGATGCTTTTACTGCTTTATCTGTCTGGAAATGGTGATTATCCTCATGAAAAAATACTGACACAAATTATAGTGCTTTACATACATTGCAGAGACATTTATTAAACATACACAATATTTTAAAACTCAAATGTGCTGATACAAATACTGCACTAGAGTAATGGACATTCATTTTCATTTTTTTAAAAATACATGAATGCGTACTGAGGTATAAGCCGGATTTCTCACCAGGGGCATATTGTTATGTTTTATGCAGCCTTGAAGCCGTGTATCTCCAACCAACTGCTTGAAACATTCTAAAGCTGTAAAAGTAATTTATTGCTGGTGTGTGAGAATTCATGTGAGCAGCCAGGAGTTTTAGGTGATGAATTCTTAACAGAGAAAGCACACTGCTCTCCTGGGGATTCAGGTGAAATGAACACTGAGTGACTTTAAGAGCATGAACACGTGTATGCTTTAGGGTCTGGCAAATGTTTCCCTCAAATAACATAAATCGATCAGCCATAACGTTAGGATTCCGGATAAGTAACGTGAACAACATTGACCATTTCATTATAATGGCATCTGAAAGTGGGTGGGATATATTGGGCAGCATGTAAACCTCTTCATGAAGCTGATGTGTTGAAAACATCAAAAAAAGGGCATTGCAGTTTGTTGTGCTTTGTGGAGTTGCATAGCCGCAGACCGGTCAGGATGCCCATGCCTACCAGTGTCCACAGCCAAAAGTACCTACAATGGACATGTGATCATCAGAACTAGAACAGCTATGGAAGAAGGTGGCCTTGTCTGTTTTATCACGTTCTCTTTTACAGCATGTGGATGGGTTGGGGGGGGGGGGGGGGGGGGGGGTGTCACTTACCTGGGAAAAAGATGGCACCAGGATCCAGTGTGGGAAGAATGCAAGCTGGCAGAGGCGGTGTGATGCTTTGGGCAACGTTCTGCTGGGAAACCTTGGCTCCTGCCATTCATGTGGATGTTACTTGACACATACCACCTACTGAAACCTTGTGCTTGGTTTCATATTTTCATAGGTTGAAAAAAGACTCAAGTCCATCTAGTTCAACCAATAAAAAGGGGGAAAAAATTTACAATGCTATACCCACAGTTCTAGAGGTAGGCCAAAAACCCTCCAGCAAAGCATGATCTAATTTGCATAAACAGGGGAAAAAATGCCTTCCCTATCCCCCAGGAGGCAATCAGAAATTCCATGGATCAACGTTACCTATAAATATTAGTATCCGGTTATATTGTGTGCATCTAGGAAAGAATCTAGGCCTTTTTATTTATTTATTTATTTATTTTTAAAGCAATTTACTGAACTAGCCAGAACCAGCTCTTGAGGGGGAGTCTATTCTACATTTTTACTGCTCTTACTGTGAAAAGGCTTTTCCATATTTGGAGATTACATTTCTCTTCCTCCAGACATAAAGCGTGTTCCCTTGTCCTCTGTAATGACCTTACAGTGAATAACTCTACACTGATTTTGCTATATGGACCACTTATGTACATGTTGATCATTAAATCCCCCCTTAATCTCTTCAAGAGAAATTCAGTTCCTCTAATCTTTGCTCATAGTTGAGCTCCCCCATGCCTCTTAAAAGTTTGGTTGCCCTTCTCTGCATTCTCCAGTTCTCTGATATCCTTTTTGTGAATTAGTGCCCCAAACTTAACTGCATGTTCCAGATGGGGTCTTACTAATAAGTACAGGGGTAAAACCTCTCTGCAGTCCATATCTCTCGTACTACAAGAAAGGGATTTTGCTTGCTTTGCAAACTGCAGCTTGGCATTGCATGCCATTATTAAGCCTCTCGTCTACAAGTACACACTGTTCCTTCTCCAACATTGATTCCCCCAGTTGTACCCCCCTAGTATGTATGATGCATTCATATTCCTAACCCCCAAGTGCAGAACTTTACATTTATTATGCAAAGACTAAAATGGTACTTTTAATCCTGGACCCTATATCATTTATACATATATTAAAAAGTAAGGGTCCCAACACTAAAGCTTACACTGGTAAAGAACACCCCTTCATGGGAACTGTATTTCCTGATAGCAGTGGCCTCTATCAGCAGGATAATGTGCCCTGCCACACTGCAAAAATGGTTCAAGACTGGTTTGAGGAACACGTTTGTTGTATTGCCTAATTGGGTCATCATGTTATGGCTGATCAGTGTACCCATGGAACAAAGAACAGATTGTAGGCTTAGATGAGAAATGGTCTTAAATTTAATTCTACCTTTTGGAACCTATTACACCTATATTTAGGGTGTAACATGTTGCTAATTAAAGAGCCCGCACAGTTGCATATTTCATTCACAGATCTGTGAATGACTAAATTACAAGTCCTTTCTGGCACAGTGGCAGACAGACTTGTAGTTCTCAATAGGAAAACAAGAACAATGACCACAGCACTCACAGCCTATTGACACTTCCTCCTGCTCCTGTTCAGGCACCCAGTGGCGTCCTCGCCCAATCAGATTTCTCAATCAGGTATGGGTGCTGCCGCTGCCATCTTGACTAATGGAAACTGGCTGTGAAGGTGGTTACGTACTGTGCATGCACAAAGTACGCTGCACTTTGTGAATGGGCCACAGTCTTCTGGGACCTGTAGTGTCCCAGAAGGCTGCAGGGGAAGGAGAGGGGGACCGAACGTCTGTGTCAGTTCGCTGTGGCAGTGGAGGGGGGGAGGAGGCAGAGAAGCTGAGCTTCCCCTTTTGGGTGGAACACCACTTTAAGGTGACTGAGTTACCTGTGTGGCCAGGGATGTTGAGTTATCTTCCTGACACCTGTTAGAACTGAAGTGGGTTGGCTAAGCCACAAAGCATCTTCAGAATTACAAGTGTAGTTGAATGTGATTAACTACTTACCAGCTAATGAGTATTTTTGACACTCATCCTGAACAAGGATACAGATTAGGAAATTCAGAGGAACATCTGAGCACTTATCCAAAACCAGAAAGTAGATCAAGTACTGAAGCTCATGGATCAGAATAACCGTGAACAAACACCAAGAATTAATTTCATTAATCTAAAATGTTATTTTACAACAGGTTTCCTTTTAATACGAAAATGTGCACGTTCGAAGATGCTGCACTCCGGATATCCAAGAGATAAAAGACCTATGATATCCTCCCTTAATGCAGAGTGCATTGGATAAATCTACAGTAAAACCCCTTCAATGGGCAGTTTATTTACTTCATGCATTTTGTAGTCAAATGCATTTGTAGTTTCTTGCTATAGTAAAGTGGTTTGCTATGGTTATGTACAGCTGAATACTCTTGTCCTGTGTTTTTTTTTCCTCAGAAAGCTCAACAAGAAGCAGAGAAAACGGATAGACAGCGACGTCAGGGCCTCTTTCAGCTGAAGTCCATCCATGCATCATTGAAGTCCAGACAATCTGAGCTCTTAAGGCGCAAGCAGCTTCGGGAGGAGAAACGCAAATTACAGGCCTTGCAGCCACGACGGCTGGGTCGCCTCAAGTAAGAACCAGTGAAAAGCTGGTACAATGCTTTTTTGGGGCTAAAACAGGAATGCGTCGGATACATTTCTCCATGGAAAGCTAAATTTTAAAGGTGGTTTTCAATCTGATCTCTGCATTTTTGGATACATCACCAATTGGCTACATACATAAATGCATTTTTGAGACCCTACAGAGATTTGTGACCTTTGGTATCTCTGTAGGCCTCTGCCCTGTGATGAGACACATCCTTGCGCTGCGAGAATTTCCAGCTTGAACTGCTGGAAATGTGATGCCAACACTGGGTGCTCTGGGGTAGTGGTGTGTTTACCATTCCTGGGGTCTGAGGGCAGAGGACTGGGAAAGATCATTTAACTTGTGGTTTGTCACTCCCCTCAAGTCCATTTTCCGCGCTTCCTCATTGCAACAGATGTGGAGATAGCTGGTTCAGTAATGTAAAATAAAACTGGCTATACACTGCTTGAATTTCAGGTTGGAAATTTTGGTAGATTTTTTTTTTTTCCCCTACTACAAAATCATTAACGTTTCTGGAGTCAGAGTTCATAGCTACACAGACTGTGAATATCTGTCAGTTTTTTTTTTTTTTTTTCTTGCTGGCTGTCTGAGTTCCCACTAGTGAAATTTGTCTTTGTGAGTTATCACCAGATTGAGGAAATGTTCTAAACTTTCCTTGGTCTCCAGAATAAAAAAAGAAGGGAATTCTTCCAATGGGTACTATTGTCCCAGTGACCATTGTCTGAGGAGACTTTTCCTTCTCTCTCACGTTGGAGAAATGGAGACATTTCATCTCATGTCCTGTTATCTGCAGGACAGAAAGTAAATGGAATTCTGTCTAGTTAGACAGAGCTGGCAAAACTCTGGGACGTTTGTTTGTTTTTGTATGTGTGTGTGTGTGTGTTTGTTTTTTTTTTTCCCCATGGAGTGGGGCTATGCCCACACTATATGGGTTAACTGCTCGTTTTGTCCAGTGGTGCGCAAAGTCTATACTCAACCAATCCTTCAATCCTCCGGAAAACAGGGCTCCCCGATGTCCAATTGGTACACTGTTCCTGCCGTCTTCACTTCCAGAGCTGGCCTATGAGCACGATGACATCAGGAACAGTCCATACGCAAGAACACTAGCATGAAAGGGGACAGGAGCGGCATGGGATGGTCTTGCGTTCAGAGGGTCGGCAGATTAGATAAGTATACCTCATCTCTTCATGCCCTTAGACAGAAACGAGCAGTTAACCTATGCAGTGTTGGCACAGCCCCACTAAATGAAGGGGGAAAAAAGAGAAGTTTAGGTTTTAATCTAAATTTTCACCATTTACGTATATTTATATTAATTACAGGTAATGGTTATCTGAACCATGGAAAGACTTGTCTTCTGATATAACCCCCTTTTTTGTCTCTTCTCAAAGGTACCAAGAGCCAGATATTGATGTTCTTCTGAGCGAGGAGCTTACAGACTCCCTGCGAAAGTTAAAGGTGAACTTTTTTTTTTTTTCTGTGTAAATGTATGGGTACAGTGGTGTCAAAAATTGTGGATGCTTTTTGAAACGTTAATGTTTTGCAACTTTGCAGGCTTAAAGGAAATGTTTTTGTACTAAATGACATATAAACATTTGCATTGGGTGCAAAATAACATTTCCTATAAGTTGCAAAACATTCATTTTCCAAAAGAGTCCACAATGTTTGCCACCACTGTAAATTCTTAGGAAGTAGGTGCAGTAATGCTGGATCTAGTGGGAGGGCTTGCCATTTTAAGGTGTCATTTTAAAAAGGCATGGATATCTGTGTGCTCTTGATCTAAAATTTATTGTAGGAACTAAAACTTTGTGTCGTATTGTGAAAATGGGTGTTAAGAGCACCAATGCAGATGTGATCAGGCACACGTTTCAAATCATCTGCATTACTGAAATCAAATGACACAGCCAACCTATGGCAAGCTCAAAAGATCACCCCTTTCATCAGGGCTAAACATTCTTAAAAATGTGAATTCGAATAAAAACCAAGAATATTGCCAGACTAAGCTTGGTAAATGCCAGTTAGCATAAAATCTCATTGTGACTCAGTTCGTAAAATCACAAGTAATTTTTGAATGGCTGCTTTATAAAGTATACATCTACAGTAAGTACCCGACATACGACCGTGTTCCGTTCTGAAAGTGCACTCCTAAGTCAAAAAAGTTGGCCTATATACCCAACTAACCCAATCAGCTGTATAGTACAGTGTACTGTAATAGGTTTATAATGATCCTGATGTACAGTACTGTGTACACTCAAGTACATAAAAGCACAGCCACTTGAGGATGCATGCATGTGAAAATGTACACCAGAAACGTGAACTTGCATCTTAGAAAGTTCACGACAGTCGTTAACAAGATCATAGTAGAATGTATTAGGGGACCTATGTTAAGGCTTTATTAGGATGACCATCTCCAGAAAAATTTACAGTAGATCCATTGGAACCAGCTTTTCACTTCTGGTGGTCTAGCACTATCACACACATTAGATGATACAAATGGATCTGTCAGTGGTGAATTGCTTTGGCAGTGATCTGTTGTGTGGGGCAGAGTTGAATCTGCTGTGCCATGTGAGCAGCCAGACCGGAAATGCTGATGTTGCAGCACGTTTCTTTTAACACTGTGCTGAAGCACTTTTCTTTTTTTATAACTTTTATGTGTTGTAATTACCTGAATATGACTTGGTATCGGCCTCCTGCAGTTCCCAGTATCGCAGAGCTCCAACTGGTTGGAGAACTAGCGCAACAAGCCAATCCGTTGGGCTACAGCTCTCATGCTAAAAAGGAACATTATTAAAGGAGCTACAAAAAAATCAGGTGTCTTTTCTAGCCACACAGGGCTGTATTCTGTGGCAAAACCGTGTAAATAACAGGACTGGTTACAGAAGGAATACAGGTAAAACAGATCCTATAAGTATGATTTTTGTTTTTTTTAGCTGTTTGGCACAAGTTCCACTTTAAACCAAGGAGCTGAGCCAAACATCTCTTAGGTTTAGAGCTGCACTATGGCTGCTGTGGATCTTAGTGGGCTGCTTGTTGGAGCACCACAACATGAAAGTTGTTAGCTGGTTTCAGAGCTTTTGCAAAGGACAAGTCATGTGGAATATAGGCGGCTTACGTAAAAGAACTACACTATTATTCAAAGCAAACTCATCCATCCATGCATGTCCATGCATGTCTCCATGCTTTATTTTGCTGAGAAATCACTTTGAAAAACACCTCCTAGCATTTCTGGCCGTGACCATCTTAAAGTGTTACTAAACTCAGGACCTGCATTCACTATATCTGGTCTCCCACAGTACAAAACATGGAAATGCAATTATTTTAGTGAATATAAACTGCTAAGTACCTTTTCTCAGCAGTATATAGCAGTCTTGTGACTTCTATCAGTGTCCGGCCGAGCTCTGGTTAAAGCCTGTAGGAGTTCTCATTCTCCTCTAACCCTCTGTCTGGACAGTGCTGATTGGCCCTGTTCCTCCTAGGGCTCTGTACTATCAGCAGACCGTTTGGAGACTGTGGAAGAAGGGGAGGGCCAGAGAAGACAGGATCAAACAGCCTTTTTACATAATGTGGAGGATTAACCCTTTAAGTTCTACAATGAGCATAACAAGTAAAGTGTCTTCCAGGATGGATAACATGGAGAGATTCTGACTCCGCCCTCTACAGTTATTGTGTTTTTGGCCCTCCAGGTAAACACATCGTTATGCCTATTATTTCCTGTAGGGCAGGTGATTGTGGTTATCTGCTTCTTTTTCTTCCTAGTCCCTTGGGCCTGCTTGTGGGTAGTGCCTTGGGCTTGCTTTTGTAGCTAGGAAGTTGATACCTTCATTCCTGGATCTTGCTGCTCCATTTGGGGGCTGGGCTGACTGGGCCCATGGCTGTTTTCCGCAAGGAAGTGACTGTTTTACTGCATATACAAACTGATTTTATTGTTATGGGTTTATTAACTCTAAGTAAGGGCAGATGATACATGTAGCATTTACTTCCTGGAATCCATCTGCCTTTAGGAAAGTCATGCAGACAGGAGAGTGAGCTTAACTGAGAAAATCCCTCCTTTTCCTGAAGACTCTTGGGATGTATGATAATTGCCTAGGCATGAAAACCAGGAAATAACTGAAGAGATGTAAAAACACAGTTTAAAACGAGTAAATATGATATGCTTTCCTATCTATTTACTAATGCCAACCGCATAAGCATTAAAATAGTCAATGTTGATAGAATGAAGTTCTACTTTACAGTGGAAAGGCCAATCCAACGTGAACTCTTAAAACCAAAAGCAGGCGGTTGGTGCACAGCAGAAAGCCCCAACAGTGGTATGAGCAATATTTAACTTTTAAAAAGGCTCACAGAGGACCAGGTAATGAATGGAAAGCATTGACTTCTCAAGGTGGGGGCATGCCCTTGACAAGAATGCCTGTGCTATAGGTGGGGTTGAGTGAGTTGTAAGTCAATGTCCAAGAGAACAACCTTTCTCTCAATGTTAATTGTGAACAATGGATATTAGAAGGGATGGGAGTGTTGAGAAGTGAGTATTTAGAAAGTGTTGATTAAAGGGAAAAAAAAAAGCCCTATGCCTTAAATTGCTAATACCAGCAGATCAGTTACCTCCCTGACTTTTTTCGCCAGGGTTCAACAACAAGAAGAAAGGATAAGTACTTGAAGAATTCTTAATTTAGGAAACTAGTCCTAAATATATAGTTTTTATTTTTTTTTTTTTTCAAAAGACCATTAGAATGTTTGTTTTTATTTTTATTTTATGTAGCCGGAGGGAAGCCTGGCCAAGGACCGATTCAAAAGTTTCCAGAAGAGAAATCTCATTGAACCAAGAGAGAGAGCCAAGTGAGTGCTGGCTGAGTATGGTGCTGAATTATTGTAATCATCTGTAAACTAGTCTGATGCAGGTTCTATAAATTCTAAAGGCCAGGGTGCCTTAACTACAGCTGACGTCTACATTTTTATATGCCTTTGCTATTGTCAGCAGAAGCATTTGTTCTTTTGGCTTGAAGTTCTTGTTGGCTTCTAAATTATTCTGCTTGCCTTCTGGGTCCTGCATAAATGTGTCAGTCTCGCTTTACAGTTTTTGTAGCATATAAAGTTGAACTATGGGCAAAATCAAAACCACAGTAGTTTGTGTTTTTGTGTCCTTCCTTTAATATAGTGTTATTTGTGCTGTCAGTAGATCTGTCCTGACTGGACAACTTTACGTTCAGGTGACCTTTTTACCCATTACTATGTCAAATATTCCAAACTGTATCCCACTGATAATGTTGACTTATAGGTCCAAAAGTGTAAGACCGCTCAAGATATGCATTATCCAACTTTTGAACATAAATCCCACACAAAGGTCAATCTGAAAAAAGTCAGCATTTATATTACTGTAAGAATATTGCAGGAGAATATCCAAAGGCAAATCAGGTCTATTGATTTTTAGGTGGATATTAATTGATGTCCGCAACAGTTGTCAAAAAACCTAGGGCGTCTTTATGCCAATCTCCTACATGTTTTTAGAACTACAAACCCTAATCATTTATGGAGAACCAGACATTACTGGGTTTAAAAGAAAATTTGAATATTCAGTTTTTTTGTAATTGTGCACTGTAACATTTGAAAGCGTGTTTTCACAATGGCAAGATGTGAAAATAGCTTACTATCACCTTTTATACTAACCACCTTATAGAAAATAGGTCCAAAAAAGTATTTTTACCTTTTTAGTATATGTAATCATGGGTACAGGACAATTAAAATTGTGATTATTTAAACAACCATTCACTGTTTTTCTTGCTTCCTACAGGTTCAAGCGAAAGCTAAAAGTAAAATATGTGGAGAAGCGAGCATTCCGGGAGATCACGTAAGTTTTACAGGAAAGACCATGGGGAATCTAAATGGTGGTATTATAGGTTTATCTGATCCTTCCTCCTGCTAGGTACTTGTGGAAATGGTAATCCTGTTATAGAAATAAGAAAATTAAGTGAGCGCTTTTCAAATAAAGCAGCTAGGCACATAGGACAACCAACAGCAATCCTCACAAAATCATTTATAAAAAAGTGCAGCGCTAACATAAGAAACTAAAATACATAGCAATATAATAGAATATGCTAAAAATAATAAAATTAATAGTCCCAATAGAGATGACTTGAAGTGAGAAATGCACACTAACCAGATGTGCACATTAAATGTGCAGTGTAGAAATCCTGCAGCTCAAAATTTGATCATCAAGACGGTACAGGTAGACGTATTCCCTCCATCAGAAAGAATCCTCGAATGATGCACAGACTAGCAGAAAAAGATTCCCCTTGAGGACAGAACCAGGTAGAACTCCACCAAAAGAGCAGGACTCCTCCACTGGGCAGAACAATGTCTGGGGAAAAAAATGCTCCCCGCAAGGGGTCAAGACAAAAAAGTGCCCATAGTGATGTATTGTTTGATTAAAACAAATTTATTGCAGACAAGTGACAGCAAAGGGGATGCATCTGGTAATGATAGTAAAATGGTATAGTGCAGAGAGGACTAACCGTCCTAACAGATGTAATGGCCGCCGGAGCTCCACGATGCTCCGGTGTGACGTCACGGCATGCGTAGGCTCCTACTTGGTAATCCTGTTATATGGAGGTCCACATAGCAGAGGAATTCTGAAGAGCCCTTTGCACACTGGTATATACCCTTTCAAGCAGACTATGCAATAAATAGGGATATTTAGTTAACACATATTGCAATACATGCTTAAGCTGGCCAACTGCTTCAAAGTAATCCCTCTATGGCCAGTCCTACTCTGCTCTGCCTACGTAAATGCTAATGTGGACACAATGCCAACATAGGGAAAAAGACAAAGTGAGGGAGAGCTACCAGGTTCAGGTCTGGCTACTGACCCAACAATACAACAAACAAGATATACCTGTGCTCAAATCCCAACAGCTAGTGCATGCATTTATCCATCAGTTTTTTTTTTTTTTTTCACCTAGCAGAGGCGACGCAATCTGCCATAGCGAAAAGAATAAAAAATAAGTGTGGGAAGACACATTTTTGAGAGACGAGGAATTCATATTTGACACATAGGAATGGGTAATTTTCTGAGTGTCATGTTCACACCAGAGCAGTGTTTCACTGCATTCAAGACAGGTGCGGTATTATACAACATGTTTGCATAACATTGCACCTCTCTGGATGGCCCTGCATGTCACTGCACTGCTTTGTGTTGACATCAATGAATTATCACTTTGTTCACTTCACATAAAGTTCAGACCTAAAAAGGAGCTGTGATGCGCTAAAATGGGCATCACACCACCGCCTTCAGCCAGCTCACTGCAGCAGGAACGGACAGCTGCCTGCACACTAAACCAATGTGTTTTAGCCTGCAGGGCAGTATGAACGGGTCCTTAGGACCAATTCCCACCACTGTTCCTGCTGAACCGGCTGAGTTTTGATCCATCTATGGCTGGCTTAGGCTTTAACAGTAATTTTTGATAAATAAATGGTAAGCACAATTTTGTAGAAAGACCACATCCCCCTTTTGCTTCTTCTATATCAAATTACAAAAAGGTATAGAGGAGTGGTGATCTCTCAAATCTGTCTGCTGGTGGGCCTGTCAGTAAACTACCTCATATAAAGTTAACCCTGTGTATTGGGCTGGCATAGGTGTGATATTGCTCTTCAGCATCTTGGCATGCAGTTACTTCCCACATTGCTGAGATCACCATTTCTCTACAGCTGAGGTCTGTGTGTGTAACAAAAACAACTCATATTACGATGACGAAAGGGTGTGAAGCTTTCTGAAACTCCACCTACCCTACCCTGTAAAGGACTTTTTATCTGTAGCTAACTATCAATAGGTAAAAGTTTGTTTCAGACTTTAACCCCTTCACGCCTAAGGGTAAAACCAATCTAAATGCCTAAGCACAATTTTGCAACGTTGACATGTTAGTAAAACCGTACATATCACAGCTGCTTTGTACATCCAGGTGAATTATACCACATTTTTTTCAGGACAAATTGGGCTTTCATTTGGTGGTAAATGGTAATGGATATCTCCTGATTATTATTTTTTTTTTTTACATTATCAAAGGAAAACTGGCCCAAAATATAAAAAAAATGATTTTTTTTTACTTTAGCTGTGTGTTTCTTGTTACTACCATAACCTACCACCAAACAACCAAAAATAAATTCTCCAGCTCTTGACAATCGCAGCGATACCATATGTGTGTGTTATTTGTTTGTGTCCGTAGTACAGCCCAGAAACAATAGTGCACATTCTGATTTTTTTGGGGTGTTTTTTTTTTTTTTTTTTTTACCTAAAACACCCTAACACTAACTGACACCAATTTTTTGACCGAAACACTTACCCTGACACTGAACTAGATCAAAACATTGATCTAGGTATTTTTTTTTTTTTTTTTTTTGCTCTATGCCAGGAGTTAGAGATGTAATGTATCTCTCTTCTCCATTCATAGAGAGAGGGAAAAAAAAGGGGGCCGGGCTGTACAGTGACTGATCACTGTGATAGCCAATCAGAGGCTATCAGAGCGATCATGTGACCCGGAATCGGGAGTCTCAGTGACACCGCAGTCTTTCTGCATGGGGTGCAGCGTGCCCCCTGCAGAAAGTCGGGTACGCAAATCTGTGACCCCACAGAAAAAAGCCCAGTTTTGTGGGGCTGCATGTTTCTGTTACGTCGGCATCAAGGGGTTAAAGATCCTCATTTATTTTTCATCTGGATAATGTTGATTGTCCACAACAAGTCAGCTTGTACTGCTTTCTCTGTTAACTTTATTAATCATTGGTATTTATTTAATGGCTCCTGCCCAAGTACTGGCTTTCATGGCCTGAGCCAAAAGCATAAGAAGATTGCTTGGCTGTGAGTGCAGTCTGAGGTTTCAGCATAAGTAAGTCAAGTGTGTGCGTGTGTTTTTTTTTTTTGTTTTTTTTTTTTTTCTTCCCCCCCTCACACTTGCCATACTTTAACCACTTGCCCCCACGGAGGATCTACCCCCTTTCTTGACCAGGTCATGGTGTGCATTACGGCGCTGCGTTACTTTAACTGACAATTGCGTGGTCATGCAATGCTGCACCCAAATGAAATTGATGTCGTTTTTTTTTTTTTTTTTTTTTTTTTTTCCCCCCCCACAAATTGAGCTTTCTCTCAGTGGCATTTGATCGCCTGTACGTTTTTATTTTTGCACTATATAAAAAAAGACAATTTTGAGGAAAGAAACAATTTTTGACTTTTTGCTATTAAACTTGTCTAGTAAAAAGATTTAAAAAAAAAAAAAAAAAAATCTAATTTTGTCATAAATTTAGGCCAAAATGTATTCTGCTACATGTCTTTGGTAAAAAAAAATCCCAATACATGTAAATTAATTGGTTTATGGGAATGTTTTAGCATTTACAAATGGCAATATAGATACTGGAAATTATTATTTTTTTTTTCTTTATCAGCGACTTATAGCGGGACTGTGGCAGACATTCTGACACTGGGGGGAACTGGCTTGGGAACTACAGTGATCAGTGCTTAAAAAAAAAAAAACAAAAAAAAAAACTGACACTGTATTGATGGCACTGGGCAGGGAGGGGTTAACATGAGGGGCGATCAAAGGGTTAACTGTGTGCAGGGAGTGTTTTACTAGGGGGCCGGTTCAGTGTGCTTCACTGTAAGCACACTGCTTTGGATGGCTGTGCTGTGCACAGCCATCCAAAGCAATGTGGCCAACCTGGCAGGGAGGAGAACTGTTAGTAAACAAAATAGTGGTCCTCCCCGTCGGAGATCCTCAGTAATCACCGGGCGGCGGTGGGTTATGATTGATAGCCATGGCTGTGCACGTAGGGTGCGCGCGGCTCTCACGCACCCCATACCCAGAAATGCAAAATCACATATATATGATTTTGCGCACCTGTGCCGTCCTGTAGCAGTATTTCTGCTATAGGGCAGTCAGGAAGTTAAGGGAAGAGTACACTGCACTGTCATGCAGCCTCTGTTTTTGATGTGTGTATATACAGCCGTCTCTGCCAGGACACCTCTCCTGCTCTGCTTAATGATTTGTCTTTGGAGTGTAGCTGGCAATTGCCGGCAGGCGCTAGTATGCGCTGTTTATAGCCTTTCGCCAGCATGTTTGGAGAAAACATGGCCGTCCTAAACACTTGGACAATGGATGATTCCTATGTAGCAGGCTCTGAGTTAGGGGGTTAAATCTGTTTCTGAGATGGTAAAGGTACACTATTTGCTGGTACTTGTTCAGTGTCTTATCGGGTAGTTGATAAAAAACTAACAAGGATTTCTTGACAGTAGCTTAACTATATAAAGCCCTGGTGCAGCCAAAACGTTTGCATTTACTGCAAAATAAATTGAGCAGAATGTTGAGTGGCTGCTTCCAGTTTGAAAACTTTGCTAGAATTCTTATCTTGGAGTTCAACTTTTTTAGAAAATATTCTATGCAGTCAAAGGCCACAGTAGGTATTAAAAAAAAAAAAAAAAAAAAAAAAAAAAAAAAAATGCAGCTTTGTATTTTTTTCAAAATGTTCCTTGTTGCTAAGGCACTAAAACTGTTGGTTTTCACTTCTATAATGCTGGGAGTGAGTGTCCAATGGTTTTCACATCCTAGCAACAAGGCAGGACTTGGAGATTGCTAACTGGGAGTTTTTTGCCCAGGCTTCTGGTGCGGCCCAAATGGGTCTTTAAACCACCTACCAAAGTCCACTCATATGTTTGGATTGTGGTCTTTAATTGTACTGGCTGAACATCCTATTTGCCCTGTGATGATATCCATCCTTGCACTGTGAGGATTTTCAGCATTGCATGCTGGGAATGTGAGGCAAACGTTGGCTGTCTCAGGGTCTGGTGTGTTTCCCAGCCCCTGGGATCTGA